CTTCAGTCCAGCCACTCTATTAGCGCGGACCTTGTCCCTTTCCCCATCAGGCTGCAGTGGATGGCAGCTGGCACCCAGCCAGGCATGGGGTGGGCCATCTTGAGACCTTGAGAGCCATTGCCAGATGCTGTTTGCTGTCGATGCCATGGTAACCTGCCCCAGGTGCCCTGGGCAGTCTTCCCAGCTCCCAAGTGGGAACTGCGTGGACTTGGCCTCAAGGCTGGACTTGCCTGCTTTGAAGCAGGCTCCTGCCTTCATCTGGAGCCGGCCAGTTCAGGGTTGGTTCGGTTTGTTAGTGTTATCTTACGGGGATGTAGTTTCTGAACCCAGAATAGGTCTGATGTGAGTGAGCATGAGGACAACAGGATGGAATATTTGAAACTGGGCCTTCTTGGAAAATCTGGGGCATTTCCCATCCTGTGACTGGTGAGCCACTCCCCCTGAGGCTGGCTGGGCTGCAGGCTCTGATGGGGCTGGCTAAGAGACTCGAGTGAAACTCCCCCAGGAGTCATAGCATGGCTTCTCCAGAAGATCCTGACTTCCTGTCACCTTATTTTGGGCTGAATGAGAACCCTGGCCAGGGCAAGTGAGTGGCTGCTCAATGTGGCATTTTGGAAACATTGACCAGTAACCTGGCTGGCTTTGTGGGGATCCTCATGGCTGACTTCCTGGAGCATCTCTCACTCTGCCCTGTGCTGGGGTATAATGTCACGTGGTCTCCAGATTCCAGCTAAAGCCAGCCTGCCGAAGTCTTTTTTCTCCAGTTTTATTGAGATCTAATTGACATACATCACTGTATACGTTTAAGGTGTACAGCATCATGATTTGATTTCCATGCGTTGTGAAATGATTACCAGAATAAGTATAGTTAGCATCCATCATCCCACGTAGACCTGCTGAAGTCTTCCCTGAACCCCTGGTCTGCCAAGCCCCTCTGGGAAGGCACATTTCTTCTTGCGCTTCTTGTGTTTTTCTGCTCATGAAAAGCAAACACGCCCCCTCCTCTTTATACACATACACACCCCCCTAAGAAAACCAGACCACGCAAAGCTAGAGAAACTTTTTTCCTGATTATTTTTCCCTTTCAGACAGGGACATCGATAGATTTGAATCATGGGCCTACAGTAATTAAAAAGCACATAACTAGTCATTTTAAATTGCCATTGTTTTACTTAATTGATTTTGCCGCCAGACCCAGAGAAAAAAGAGGAACGGAGGAACGAAAGCCTTCGAAGGGGAGAAGGTTTCTGTGAGCGACTGGAGGCGGCGGAGGGCTCTGCTTGAATCTAATTGCTGCAAATGCTCCAGTTTGTTTCTGCTAATGGTTTTCTGCTGAAAGGCTGGGGAATGAGGCCTGACTGGGGGGTTGGGGGTGGGGCTGGTAGGCATTTGTTTCAGCTGCGTGGGGGGTGTAATTCTGCTTTTGGGACAGGGTCTATTTTTCCTTACTATCTATCAGCATAAAGTACTTGCACTGAACACTTTGAATCAAGGTTCCATTTAGAGATACTTTATTCATATTTAATTACAGGCCGCAGCACTAATCTTTAATTACCTTTTTTATAATCCAGCTAGGAACATTCACTAGTAATCAATTATTGTGTGTGTGCATGTGTGTATAAGCACAGGAGGGTGTGGGCGTTTGACTTGCTGCCTCATAGAGATGGAAAGGATGCTGCGGAGGCACTGGGTCGGGGGTGGGCCCGCAGGGGTGGGGTGGGGGTGTATCTGCTGGACAGGTTCCTTGTGCGGAGTGAATGGTGCATCCTCATTTCCCATGCCTCTCTTTGCTTCCAAATTGGGGATTTGGGCAAATCCTTGCAGCTGGGCCTTGTTCAGGGTGTGAGTTGGCAGCTGGGCTTGGGTGGTATCTCGGGACCTCCTCCATGCCCTGGTGGGAGCAGGGAATCATGGGAAGCCCCCTTCCCATCCCCTGGTGATATGGCGGACCAGGCTTCCTCTTACCCCGCAGATTGGAATATTGTCGCCTCGGGTCCTTTCCTTCCTCCACCTCCCCCTGGAGCACTCCTGGCAGCTGTTCTCACCTCACAGCCCTAACGATGCCACATCATTCCTTGGTTGCAGTGAGTCTGCAATGTCCCTGCAATGACACTGACTTGAAGACGGGTTGTCCTTCTCAGAGAATGAGCAAATGTTCCCAGGGAGCCAGGCGGAAGCTTGGGGTGTGGAGTCAGGTCAGCTGACTTCCCAGTCCCTTTGTGGGGGGCACTGGGCCATTCTAGCTGCCTGGGAGGTGAGGGTTCACAGCTCTGCTCCAGACGACATTCTTCTTGCTGCTCCTTCAGGAACTACCAGAGGGTTTCCAAAGGAAGTTGGTGTTGATCTTGCTATGTGAAGGCTGGAATTGTTGCTGAAGCTCTACTTCCCTTCTATTCCTGGGTCCCTGTCTCAGCAAGAGGTGGGGAAGGGATGGAACTCATACTTACTGAGTGTCTTGTGGGTGCCGGCACCATGCCCACGTTTCTTTTATCTGTCCTAGCTGGGACCTGAGAACACAAGTGTGTTAGTCAGAGCCCCTTCAGTTGTGTGTGAAAGAAAACAACTCAAACTTCACTTAAGCAAAAAAAGGAATTAATAGGGTGGGCATTCAGGCATGGCTAGATCAAGGGGCTCAACCATTGTGACCAGGAATGACTCTGTCTCTTGGCTCTGCTTTCTTCTTTGTTGTTACTGTGTGAACCCTGGTAGCTCCACCCTTCAAGTTCAATTTTTAGCTTCAAGTTCAGTAGAAAGAAAGAATTCCTTCTCCTACAGTTCAAACAAAAGTGACACAGTTGAGTCAGATTGGGCCTGTTGGGTCCCGTGTCCATCTCTGAACCAGTCAGTGTGGCCTGGGGTATTCAGGGTTCTGATTGGCCAGGCTGGGGTCTCACACCCATCCTGGAGTTACAAGTGGAGTCCACCTAGGTAAGTCCCACACGTGACATGTGCTCTTACATTTGCGGTCTTTGGATTATTAAGTGTGTGAGAGCAGGAAGGTCCAGCTGTTCAAAGGGAAGAGAGAGTTGACTCAATTCTCCGATGGGGAGAATAGTGGATTCAATCTTTCAATAAATATTTGTTTGGCACTGACTAGCTTCAGTCCTGTTCTACATACAGGGAATTCGGTGAACAAAACAGACAGAAATCCCTGCCCACTTGGAGCTGAGGTCTGATGGGGTTTATAGGGTTGGTGGTCCTTGTCTTCTAATCCAAGCCCAGGTCCAGGACAAAGGGTTCTGTGCAGAGGGACCCAGGGTGATTCGGGGTAGATATCCTGGGAAGAATCTGGCCCTTAGGGAGCCTAGAACTCACGAAGGTGGGAAGAAAGACAAGTGTGTGGTTGGGGAAGAAGGGGAGAAGTGGGCACTGGGAGGGGTACAAGTAAAAACCCAGTGAGGAGGGAGGGGGACAGGGAAGCCAATCCGTACCCATATCCCGTGACAGAGAAGTGTAGGCCCCCCCCATGTTGCCTGGACCTTTGGCCTCCGCAGGATGTTGATAAATGGGATGGAGTTTAGTGAAAGCTACAAAAATGATGACAGGGCTGGAGGGAGTGATTTATGAGAAGAGATTAGCAAAGCGATGGTGCAGCCTAACAAACCGGGGGATGGGATGGTGGCTATGGGTCAGGTGACTTCTCAAGTCCAAGGAGAGGACAGGGGCTGGGGGGCAGGGCAGAGTGGCTACTGCAGAAGTGGGGACATAGGGAGGCAGGGGGCACAGACTGAATAGGCCTCGGCCTGAGGGTCTGGGGGGATGTGAGAAGCGGGGAGGCATCTGACTATACATCTACAGATTTGTGCATACGTGGATGTCTGGACTTTGCAGAATTGTGAGGCTATATAGGGACTCAGGAAATAGGGGGCGGGGGAATGAGAATTTCATCCTTGGACAATCTTGCAGAAGACTTTTGGGGGCCTTCTTCCCGTCTGGTAGAATATTCACATCTGGACCATGTAGGTGTGACCACTCAAGTCAGAAAGACTTTTTCCTTCAGGAAAATTGGTGTAACCTTTCAAGGAGGGAAGGAGGGAAGGAAGGAGGGAAGAGAAGATGGAAGAGTAAGCACTATACATCCCTTTTCCTAGAGCGAGAAGGTGAGGCACAGAAAGGGCAGGGATCTGTCCAAGGCTACCTTTGCATGGCATTGCAGGTGAGGACCAAAAGCATGGCTGGGCTTGCAGCCCTGGGATCTCTGCCAGGTGGCCAGGCTGAGAGTGGGCTCAGGGACCCATGTTGAGGCTGCTACTCGGACAGGAACAAAAGGTGCCTATTGCGTTTGGAGCCCCCAGCCTGGGGTTCCTTGAGCTCTCCAGGTTGGTGGGATTGGAATGTCTTCCATCTGATCCATGTCTTCGGCTGCCCTGGGCCCAGCTTCTCTTAACATTTTTTTTTTTGCTGAGGAAGATTGGCCCTAAGTTAACATCTGTTATCAAGCTTCCTCTTTTTGCTTGAGGAAGATTGTCCCTGAGCTAACATCTGTGCCAGTCTTCCTCTATTTTGTATATGGGTCACTGCCACAGCATGGCCACTGATGAGTGGTGTATGTCCACACCAGGGAACTGAACCCTGGGCTGCTGAAGCAGAGCATGCCGAACTTAACCACTAGACCACAGGGCTGGCTCTGTCAAGTTTTGATTATATCCATATATGAGAGCCTCAGAGGCGTAGTGTAGATAATTAAATAGGTGGATAATGCACAGTTCTGAATGTTCTAGACAGCACTTCTTTGGCCTTAAGTGGAAGTGCTGAGGGCACAAGCACACGTATGAGGACACACCCTCCACATGTGTTTTCTGTCTCACTCTCTCCATATGCCTGGCGTGAATCTCCATGGCGGCAAAGGGCCCAGGCAAGATGCTGGGTTGGCCTACGACTGATGGAGCAGAAAAATCTGTCGTGGGGGCATCGGGCAGCACTGCTCTGACCCATCCTCCTGGGCCCTCTCACTGGACTGAATCCTCTTCACTGCTCTGTCCTCTCTCCACTCTTGACAGATCCATGATTTGTTTGTGAGCTTCGACGACACCCCCCTGGGGGCTGCCTCCCTGGCCCAGGTCCACAAGGCAGTGCTGCGTGATGGGCGGACGGTGGCCGTGAAGGTGCAGCACCCAAAGGTGCAGGCTCAGAGCTCGAAGGACATTCTCCTGATGGAGGTGAGAGCCGACCCCTTTCTCCTTCCTCCTTGCTCACTCTATATTTCCCTGGATCCAGGCAGCCCCAGTGAAACTGGTGTGAGCCTGGTGGGTGGAGGGTGGCCCTTTGAGCAGCAGAGGCGAGGAGAGCTTGAGACCATGACAAAGGAGGCATCATGACAACGCTGTGACCCTGGCACCCGTGGCTGGGTGGGTCAGTTCTTCTTGATGGTTCTTGGGGACCATCTGTGGGTGGTCCCAGAACCTGCTGAGCGGCTGCTGGGGCCGAGGAGGCCTCAGGGGCACGTTGTAGAAATGAGAGGAACCAAATGTGTTTTCCTTAGGGTAGAAAAAGTTGCATCTTAATTTGTTAAATTACAACAAAAGGGAGCATGTGGTCGACCAAGGAATGTAAAAATGACAGCAGAGCACATAGAAATATTTATGCAGCTTGCTGGTTTACTTATCTGATGTGTGTTTTGAATGAACAAACTTACACGCTTAGAAATGGCCCTGGGAAAGCTCTGGTGGAGACGGTGCTTTGTACCTGGAGAGAGGGAGAAAGGGTGAGCTGGCCACTGCTCGGGGGGGTAGCCAGCACCCCCTGTGGGAGGTCAGCAATCCATTTACCCTGCCAGATGTCCCTTCCTCCCCTTTCCTTGCTCTGGACTCATTCTTTCAACCCACTTTGACTAAACTTAACACGCACATTGAGGGTCTCTTCTGCACCATGTGCTGGGCGGGCCCTGGGGACACGAGAGTGAGTGAGCTCCATGCTCATCCTCAGGAGCTCCCTGTTTAGTGGAGCAGACAGGTCTCTGCACAGACAGCCACAGTGCGGGCACGTGAGTTCTGTCAAAGGGGTGTTTGCAAAGTGCCGTGGAGCACTGTGCCTGGACTGACGGGGGCATTGCAGGGGCTTCACCGAGGAGCCCATGAGACGGCCGGGCAGGGCAAGGCCAGGCCAGGTTGTGTGAAGGCCCTGAGTCTTAGAGGACCGGGGTGTGCGTGGAGGACTTCCACTGGTTCGGATGGTATGAGCTGGGAGTGGTTGCAGATGAGGCTGGGAAGGTAGGCAGGCCCGAACACGGAGGACCTTGTAGTCCAGACTAAGGCACAGAATGGTCTACACAGGAAATACGTATTTACTATGGAGCTGAGCAGATCTGACTTTCTCTTGTAGACAGTGGGGAACCATTTAAGAATTTTAATCAGGGGAATGTCATGATCAGATGTGCATTAGAAATAAAAATCTGCTGGCGGTCTGGAGGATGTATTGGAAGGCAGAAAGACTGTAGCCGGGGAGACTAATTGAGAGGCTGCTGCCCTGGTCTGAGAGAGAAGTAATGATGTGAACCAGGGCAGTGTAATGGGCTGGAGGAGAGGGGAGGGTTCCAGGGCTGGAATCATCAGGATTCTGTGACCAGCTTTACATGGGGTGGGGGCCAATAGTGGTATGAATGAGACGGAGGACTCTAAAACAAATCACAGGTTTCTGGCGTAAATGATTAAGTTTGGGTACCTTTCACCCTGTGTATCGGTCAGGGTCCGGGTGGGGAAAAAGAAATTGCTCTAGATATTTCATGCAGAGGGAATTTAAAACAGCAAATGGGGCTCAAAGGGGATGGAGTTGAGAAGTCAAATGGGATGGCGAGACAGTTCCCAGCAGCAGGAAACCACTGCTGCCCTCGGGGTGGAGGGTCAAAGAGAAGGGGTGGTTCTCTGGAGCCCAGGAGCTGGGGCCACCTGGTGGAAGCTGGGACCTTGGTGACCTGGCCCGATGGGAGGCACATCACAGATGCGGGGCCTGTCACCTGGGCGTTGGAGCCATGGATGCTATTGAGGCAGTGGGTTTTCACCTCATCCTGTTCCCCAGTATTCCACCAAAACTAGCTAGAAGTCAGTTAGCAAAGAACCCTGGGAAATGTAGTTTCTTATGAGAGAAAGGGGGTTGGGATGGATCTCAGAGCAAAGTGAAATGGGTGATGGAACCACCAAGTGGGCTAAGATATTGCTCTGAGGAGTTTTGATGGCATCTCTCTGTTGGTGTGGAGTTCAGGCTGGACAGACAGCTTCAGGACTTCTCAGCGAGGACACTCACAGGAGCTGAGTCTGGGAGAGTCCCTGACATCAGTTAGAAAAACTGTGTAGAATAAAAAAAAAACGAGGGGGTGGAAAGAACTGTGAGGAACATCCTGATTTGAGCAGAGGAGTGTGTCAGGAGGATACATTCCTGAGAAGAACTGAGAAGGTGTGGTCGGAGGGGAGCAATGCTGCCACATCCCATGAAAAAAATTTCAAGAAGTGAGCACTGTCACTTACCCAGCACTGCATAATGAGCTACCTCAAAATGGAGTGGCTTAAACCGGCAGTCGTGTGTTTTGCTCATGAATCTGCAGTCAGGGCAGGGCTTGGCAGAGAGACTCATCACTGGTTTATGCAGTGCCAGCTGGGGTGGCCTGACTGGAGCTGGAGGACCCACTTCAGGATGGCTCACTCACATGGCTGGCACGTTGGTGCAGGCTGTTGGCTGGGAGCTCAACCAGGATGGTGGGCCAGGGCCTTAGATCCTCTCCATGGCCCTTTGGGCTTCCTCACAGCATGGCGGCCGGGTCCCAAGCACGAGTGTCCCAAGAGGATAAGGCTGAAAATACATCACAGTTTTATGTCCTGGCCTTGGCAAGCGTATGGCATGACTGCTTTCTCACTCTATTGGTGAGAGCAAGAGTCATGAAGGCCCCCTAATTTAAGTTGGGGTTTGGGGGGGAATAGACCACCTCTTGATGGGAGGTGGCACAGTTCTAGAAGAGTATTAGAACGGGAGATGTTGGAGCCATTTTAGAAACTATAGTCTGCCAGAATTACTCGACGTTGCCAATGGGATATAAAATCAATAAAGCTCTGAAGAGAGGATTTTGGATATGGCGATTGAAGTTTCTTGGGAAGAGCGGGGAGAGTGGGGTGAAAGAGAATGGAGGCCCCGGGGAGCAGAGACAGTTCAGGTGGAATACTCTTTTCATGTTTACCATGGATGGTCGGGGAGAGGGAGGGTAGTGGTTAGAGCAGAGCGCAGGATGGACGGCGGGGACTCGACAGGCTGTAGGTGGTGGGGAGTGTGGCAGCAGAGCGGGGGCGTTGGAGATTCAGGAGAGAGAGGTAGCTGATAGATGCAGGCCACGGGGAGACTAGAGGGACTGCGCTCCGGGATTGTAGGGGGAAACGTTAGCCTTTGGTCAGCCTTTGCTTTGAGGCGAGAGGAAGGTGGTAAGTCTGGGTGCAGATGAGTGTGTGGGGCAGAGAAGGGAGGCGGAGGGAAAGTGGGCAGCTGAGTCGTACCAGCCTGATAGCCTCTATTTTTTCTCTGCAGTAGGAGGCAGAACCATCTGCTGAGAATGAGGGGGTAGGAGGTGGCATTGGAGGCTTGAAGGGGTGAAGGTTTGGAACAGTGGCTGGGTGCAGTGGAAAAGGGACTAGGGAGCAGGGGTGCCGAGTGGCAGTGGCCGTGCACCTGAGTTTTCTGGAGCACCCGTCAATGGCTATAGAATAGCCACTCAACAGAGAGAACTGGGAGTCTCAGAGGATCCCTGGGTGTTCTGAGCCCCGGCAGCCACTCCTGCATCAGGCGGGCACCTGCCTCTTCCCATCACTTGGTGCCATCAGGAGCCACTCGGGCTGCGAGGACAGCTGATACCTTGTCTTTGCTCAGAGGCTTCCTGCTCCCTAAATAACAGTGGCTGTGAGGTCAGTAGCAATAATAACAGTAATAACGATTTGGCATCTTCCTCCCTGAGATGAGCATCAGATGCTTTTTCTGGGAAGTACAGCCTAGTGGCTGTGTGCAGAGTACAAGGTGGCTCCTCACCAGTGGCTGAGGAAGTGCTGGGATGGCCAGGCAGCCCCGAGACCTTCACTCACAGCCTCAGGAGAGACGCTAGAGGGAGGCCCGAGGTCCCAGCCCCACGGATCATCAGCATGAGCGGCAGCACAGAGTGGCACTGCCTGCTCGCTGGGCTTGGTCTCTGGTGGGAAGAAGTTTCACATGGTCACTCTTCTCTGCTATAAAACTAAGAAGTGCCCAACTGGAAAGCTCGTTTGATTTTATATGTGAAATAGTATTATTTTTTTCTAAGTCCAGACCCAATGGTGCCTTGATTTTAGGAATGACAGCCCTAAAAAGGTGCTCAGGCATGCTTGGCAGGAGAAGAATGATTTCTAGGAGGACTTAGGGCTACCGAATCCATCAGAAACCTGGAGATAGAGGGGAGACAAAGCTACTTTTCTGCATAGCCTTCTGGCACTTTCTTTCATGCCAGTTCCAGGTATTATGAGCCCTCATGCTTCTCTCTCACTGCCCACTGTTATCCCTCTCTCCTCCCCAACCTTGTGATTGATCCCAACCTGGTCTTGAGAGGAAGACAATCTGGTTAAAGTAATTCATACTAAGGAGAGAGTGACTAATAGGCTTAAACTTTAATATTTGCAGTTTAAGAGGTGAGCCTGTAAATCCGAACACTTAATGACTGTACGGATAGAGGTATGTAGGAGTAAGACTTTTGAGAGTGAGGAGGTGGGGACTACTGGTTGTATCAGTTAGGATGCTTTTGGTTGCAGTATCAGAAAATTCAACTAAAAGTGGTATAAATAATAGTAACCTGTATTATCTCACATTTCAGATATCTGGAAGTAGGTCGGCTGTTCCAAAGTTGACTAATCTAGCACTTATTGTTAAGGTTTTTAAACGCCTGGGTTCTTTTTGTCTTCCATTCTGCCATCTCAGGTTTCTGGCATGTCCTAAGGTAATGTCCCTCATGGCCCCAAAACAGCTGCAGCAGTTCCTGCTGTTATAAGTAGATGACATCCAGATGCCAGAGAAGGCCTGTTTCTTCTCTCATATTCTTTATCAAAAAGGAGGCCCCCAGTAGAGTCCCCTTCATTTCTTATTGGCCAGAAGTACGCCACAGGCCCAAAGCCGAAATCACTGTTGGCAAGAGAAACGAGACCACTTTGATTGGCTTAGACCA